TTTTTTTTTTTTTTTTTTTTTTTTTTTTTTTTCCCCCCCCCCCCCCCAAAGGAGAGTGCATGTGTGCACACAAACAGGGGAGGGGGCAAGGGAGATTGGGAATCTTAGAATGGCTCCATGCCCAGCTCAGTCTCACAACTGTGAGATTATGACGTGAGCTGAAATCAAGACTCAGACACTTAACTGACTGAGCCACACAGGTGCCCTATTTTTTTCCTTTCTAATCTGGATTCCTTTTACTTTTTTGTTTGTTTGTTTGTTTGCCTAATTGTATTGGCTAGAACCTCTAGGATAATGTTGAGTGAAAGTGGTGAGAACAAATATCCTGTCTTATTCCTGATCTTAGGGGGAAAATGTCTGGTCTCTTACCATTAAGTATGATATTAACTCAATAGATGCCCTTTATCAAATTGAGGAAGTTTCCTTTTGTTCCTAGTCTGCAGAGTATTTTTTTCATGGAAGTGTTGATTTTTTCAGATGTTTTCTTCATCTATTGAGATGATCATGTGGCTTTTGTTATATTGATGTGATGTATTACATTAATTGATTTTCGGATATTAAATTAACCTTGCATTCCTGGGATAAATCGCACTTGGTCATGGTGTATAATTATTTATACATAGTATGAGGTTCAGTTTACTAATGTTTTGTTGAAGATTTTTATTTTCATATTTATATAAGCATATTCATTGTAGTTTTCATGTGGTTTCTTTGTCTGGCTTTATATAATGAATTGAGAAATGCTCCTCAATTTTTGAAAGAGTTTGTAAAGATTTGTAGTTAAATCTTTCCATGTTTGATATAATTCACCATTGAAGCCATATGGGCCTGGGCTTTTTATTTGTGGGTAGGTTTTTTGATTCTTGATCAGACTCTTTACCTGCTATATGTGTATTTGCATTGTCTATTTCTTCTTTAAGTCTATGTTAGTATTTTGGGTTTTGGGGAATTATTCTGTTTCATGTAGGTTAATCTAATTTATTGGTGTATAGTTGTTCATAGTATTCCTTTTAATTTTTATTTATGTAAGGTTGATAGTAATGTCACCTTCTTAATTTCGGATTCTAGTAATTTCTTTCTTTCTTTTTTTTTTTTTTTGTCAGTGTAACTAGACTTTTGTTGATTTTGTTCACCTTTTCAGTGAACGAGCTTTTGGCTTTATTGACTTAACTTGTGTTTCTATTTAATTATAATGTTTTCATACTAATAGAGATGTATTTCCTAAAATTAATTTTTCACAATAGAACTTAATATATATCACATATTTTGCAATGTTACCTGAGCATTTTATTTGTCCGATCAGATTCTCAGATGCTTAACACTGGAAATGATTTGAAAAACAAAGTCAAAAGTGACTCAGTCCTGCTTACCAGTGAAGAGTATGATGTGAAGGAACAGCACAGCATCACTCAAGCCACTCAGACAAGTCCAGAGGTTCCTTGGCCTTCTCAGTTGGTTAACTTTCCTGGGTGCTCCTTTGATTTTACTAGGGAACAGGTAATAGGAAAACTAATTTATTCTCATTCAATTTGGGCAATTGAAACAAATACTAGATACTAAAAAGTCAAAACATTATTCATTTATTCATTTAAATAATGTTTATTGAGTGCTTATTATGTGCCCAGGCACTGTGTTAGATGCCATGGATATAGTGTTGAGCAAGATTGGAACATTCCCAGCCTTCACAAAGGTTGTAGTCTAATGAGAAGGTAGAGGAGTAAATGTGGGAGAGTACCAGTTCCTGGAATCTAGAAAAGAATCCTGGAGGATAGGTTCTTTTTGATGTCTTAATTTTAAGTTTGTGAAAGTATTATAATATTTCAGAACATTGGAAAAATATTTTTAAACAACTTTAATGCATTCTAACTGTCTGTAGTGCTATCAATATATATTTTAAAAATTTTCCTCTCAGGCTCTTTTCCATAATTTTTCAAAATAATTATTATTCTAATGTATATACTATATATATTTTTTACTTAACATGGTTTAACAAATATTTTTCCATATTGCTACATATGCTTCATATTTATTTTAATGGCAGAGTAATATGGATGTGAATGTACTATCACTTTTTTTTAAGTTTATTTATTTATTTTGAGAGAGACAGAAAAAGTGCAAGCAGGGGAGGGGCAGAGAGAGAGGGAGAATCTCAAGCAGGCTCTGTGCACAGAGCCTGACATGGGCTGGCTCGAACTCATGAAACTGTGAGATCATGACCTGAGCCAAAGTCAGGAGTTGGATGCTCAACCAACTGAGCCACCCAGGTACCCCGTGCTATCACTTCTAATTCTTCCTCTTAATATTTGTTAACATTTGAGTTGCTTCTTATTTTTGTTATTATAAATAAAATATCCAGCAGAATTTTAATTCTCTATGCTAGAACCAAAGAATGAGTTCACTTATCTGTTCACCAGAATTTTTTCGATGTCACCTTTGAGCTAGCAATAGAAAATTGAACAATATATCATCCCCATCAAGAAACTTGAAGTCTAGTGGGAAAGATAGAAGTGTGTAATTGATGGTCATAACATACTGCAATGCAAGTGCAATGCTGGAGATTGGAGAAATATAGGGAATACCCAACTTGGTTTAAGGCAGGAATTCTTAAGCTGGACCCAAAGAAGTCTTGAGAACTTTTTGAAATTAAACATGTATATATTAATGTATCTGTGTAAATGTGTTTTGGAGGAGAGAAAGGTCTTACTGAGTTTTATCATTAAATCTTCATAGTTAGGGGTTAGGGAATAGTTCGAAGAGGAAAAAGTACTTCAACTGAGTCTTAATGTGGGAGGGGAGACCTATTGGCCATCTGGATGAAATGTTTAATGAGATATTCAGAATATGGGCCTGTGGCTCAAGACAAAGTTTCGTGCTAGATCAAGTTATGTGATAGACCCATAGGAATAGATGAGATCATCTAAGAGAGTGAGTGACTCAAGTTATAAGATGACCAATTACAGAATCTAACAGAGTAGTAACATTTAAGGGTTCTTAAACAGCAGAGGAAAGGAAGAAAAGCCTGTGGGTGAGCAGAGATAAACATGAAAGAACTGAGGCATAAAAGGTAAAAGAGAGAGGCTTAGGAAGGAAGAGCAAGGTCAGCAGTGTGTAAAACCACAGAGAGGTCGAGGGGATTTGAAATTAAACAAAATCACTATTAGATTTATAAAGTGCTTCATCTTAAGTCCACTCTCACCAGCACTGGGTGTTTTTACTATCCCAAGTGTCACACCTTTAGATACTGTGTAAATAGTCTGTATATTCTGAAAATGATTAAATTCTCTTACTTCCCAAATTTATCATTTCAGCTCATGGAAGAGAATGAATTTCTTAAACAGGAATTGGCCAAAGCTAAAATGGCTCTTGCAGAGGCTCACTTGGAAAAAGATGCTCTTCTTCATCATATAAAGAAGATGACAGTTGAATAACAGGAATGGCAATCAAAAATTAAAATTAATAGCTGTGGAGTAGGGAGGTTGTATTTATAATGTTATGTTACCAATAGCAGAAGACTTTCCTTTTCATGAAATGACAATAAAATGAAGTAGAATGTGATGAAGTGGTGACTGTTCCAAAGCCAGTTTAGAAAGTATTAGGTACGGGCATTACAATCTTTTGGTTGTTTTGTGTTTTTGGGTTTAACCCTCTTTTAAACTGGTATGATAGGGGGAAGTCAGCACATACTGTAAAATAATTACATGCCTAATGGAAAGAAGGTGTCATTTCCTAATTTTGATATCACATTATAGGCACTTTTTAAAAAGAAAATTGGAAAGCTATTGTGTTCCCACAGATTGCTGGTTTTATTTATCACTATTTGTTAATAATTTATTTACAAAGATTCAAATGCTTTTAGGGCTAGTGTAATTAAAAGGAGGCTTACCTTTTAAATGTTATTAAAATTATGTACTTAATGTGCTCGCTTCGGCAGCACATATACTAAAATTATGTACTTAAAATCTATAATTATTTAATTACTGTGGAAAAGTCCAATCAAGTTAATAAATTATATTGACTGGGTTTGAAAATTCTGGAAAATCATCACCCTACTGAACTTACAAAGTAATTTGAAAATGTGAAAAACAAATCATTTAAAATGATTAATAAACTGTATAAGTTAAAGCTATAATTTTCAACTAAAAGATCGTACAAATGTAAAAATAAAAAGCACAAACTGTAAAAAAGCAAAGCATTACAGTATATGGCCAACTGATTTAGAAAGCATTACTTGTACATTCCTTAAACAGTTTATGTTAGAAGTAAAAGAGTAATTTAACTATCCCTACATTTGGTAGCATTTGTAACTACAAGAATTTTAATTAATACTATTTATATTATTTCTTTACCTTTATCTTTTCTCTATTTAAGGAGGGGAATGTTTGCAGAGAATTTTCTTTTCATATACATAAAATTTCATACCATTCTTGTAGTAACATATTAGGTAGATGTTTACACATATTGTATTTATAAAGCTAGTTTTGATTAAAGGTCTCTGTGATATAAATATTATCTTCTATAATAAGAATAATGGTACATTTTGAATTCTATTTTCTAGGGATTGTTAAGATTGAAACCAACATGAGAGAGAAAATCATGCATTATAAAAGTTTATGAGTGTTTAAGAAACAGATGTTTTTAAAGATTTAAAATATATTTCTGATAGAATTAAACTAAGTAGGGTCTATTTTAAAATTCACATTCTTAAACATAAATATATCCAAGCTATAACATGAAACAGCTCAGAGTACTCTTTCTTTAAGATACTTGAAGATTTTAAATGACATTACAACACTTATGGTGCTTTGCTTGTTTGGCATGACTTCCATAGCCATCCCTATATCGGAATACTTGGAGGAAAATACATGTTTCATTTACATTAAGTGTTGGAGTGATTTAGATTTCACTGAAAACAATACTGGCCTTTTTTTTTCCTTCTGTAACATCCATTTTCATTGACATTATTTAAAAATACAGGCCTGTTGTGGGAGCTGAGGATATAGCAAAGAACAAATTAAATTGTTAATTTTTTACCTCAGAGTATTTTAAAAATCACCTTTAAACCATGTTAATCTAAAACTATATAGTAGTCTTAGACTAAAAGCAAAGGTCTAATTAAAGATTTAAAACATACAGCTTATATCCTTAGTTTAGAGTACTGTTGATTTGTAGGTATTCAACAAAAGCAGTCTCTTACACAAAAGCAGGACTGATGGGACATTAACTTCTTCAGAGCCGACAGTTTCTCAGGACTGCCTTATTTGCTCCATAGAAGTTTTAAATTTGTGGTGTAATTGTTTAGTGTTACAGAAGCTGGATGTTTTCCTTTTTCCTTTTTAGTTTACTTGGCCTTCTCAAGAAGCATATAAACAGTAGAGATGATAATTAATATTGATTTGAGCATTCTTATATGCTTTGTTGGACTTTTTAAATTTATAGTGAGTACTATTTTTATAGAGATTTAAAATTCGTAAAGCACTTTGAAAAACATTATCTCATGTAATTCTCACAACAAATCTGGGAGGTAGGTATTACTCACATTTTATAACTTTTACCAAACAAACAAACCCTGTGGCTTAAAAAAGAACAAGTGACTTGACTGAAATCACAATCAATAACTTGCCCTTTTGACTTAAATCCCAATTATATGTTTTTATTTTACCTTTGTCATTAATTTACAGATTTTGCCAGAGGTAGGGAAAGGAGTCATTTACTTACTTTTATCTGTTTTTTTTTATAAGATAAATATAATACTTTTAATTGTGCAAGTGTGATGTGTGTATATTTTTCAAACTACTTAGAAGATAGTGGAAGAACCTTTGTTTAAGTTAACCCCAACCTTTTCACAGTGTGAGAAATACAGGAGTAAACCTATGATAAACTTACCAGAATTTTTTAATGACCATAAAGTAGAAAAAAAAAGTTGCCATATTTTTTATTTTTACTTTTACGTTATTTGCACTGAGTCTCTAGCCAGAGATGTTAGTGATCATGGGCTGAAATGGTAATTGTGTTTTGCCTTTTAATTTTATGTACATCAAAAACATTTTCTTAGTATCTTGTATTTTTTTTCTTATCTCATTTTGTCCTAGAATTTCAAAAGACCACCCTGTGACATTAATTGTGATGAAATGTTATTTTTATTTAAGCCACATAAGAATGGCTAGGTGTGATTGCATGAAAATATATGTAGAAAAATTAACCAGAAACTCCTTTCTGGATTTGTTGTAGTTATTTGGTATTTGTCACAACAAGAGTTATAATAACTTCCACTTTAACAAGTTTTTATTAATCTCCACTCTACTCAAGACATTTCCTATTTCAGTGAATGGTACCACCATCACCCTGGTTCCCAAACTGGAAACCCTGAACTACTCTTAGACACTTTCCTCTCCCTACCTGCCCCCCACCGTCAGCTCTTTACCAGGTCCTGTCATCTCTCGTATTTGTCGGCTTCTCTCCACCTCTCATCGCCTCCCTAGCCACCATCAGCACCTTTTGCCTGCTTTACTGCAGTTGCCTCCTGACTGGTCTTCCTACAGCTCCTCTGGCCCTCCTCTGATTCACTCTACTGCAGGCAAAATTCTCTTTTGAAGTGCAGTTTTAATCAAGGCAACCCCCCCATCCCTATTCTTACCCACTTTAATGGCTTTTTCTTGCTCTTAAGATGAAAACAAAAATATTTAAGTTAGAGCCACTATTTAGGGTATAATTCTGAGCATTAAAAGAGTTAATGTCCAAACCATTAAAACGGTGGCTGGCACATAATTGTACATCGTGTTTCAGTTACTTTGTTACTTCGTTGCACTTCAAGTATCTGGAATGAGTGGGAATTAAAGTGCTTCTTCCACCACAGGAGCCTTTGTTTGTGTTCCTTTGTCTTGAAATACCTCTTCCTGTTGCATTGCCTAGTTTAATTCTTATTTGTCTTTCAGATCTCACTTATTCATCACTTCCTCAGGGAAGCATTCCTTAATTCCGGTCACACAGTAAGAACCACTGTTGTCTGTTATCACATGAACACATACCTCTACTTAGCGTTGAACATTTTTGTAATTTTATATGTATTTATTTGATTAATGTAGACCCTCTAGACTGTAAACCCCCATGAGGACAGGAACTGTGTTTTTGTTGTCAATGTTCAACTTTGTATTCCTTATGCCTCATACAGTGGCTGGCACATAGTAGGTGCTCAATAAATCTGTTGAAAGAATAAAATGAGTGGATGTGAGGTATCAAGGGTGTTTTTTAGGTATTAAGTTTTTCCTCTACGTTGGATTGAGGAGAGATGGAACACTGGTAGAAAGTAAATAGTGGTAGTTATTTAAAGGAACAGACATTTTGAGTCCTTAGGGAAAGAAAAAGGTGGGCAATGGAGAAATTTGCGATAGTGTTTTCTTCAGAATTTTTAGTCTCTGAACTTGTAGTTGATTTATCACAAACCATCACCAAACAGAAAATTAGCACATCACTTCATGAAACTGCTAGAGTGCCAGAATGTCATGTGGCTTTGATTGTAACATACGGTGTTGTGGCTGTGGAGATCTGACAGTCCTGTCAGCCAAACAAAATGGAAACAAGGCCAAAAGAGTACTGGCTGAAATAGTTTTCGATTTTTGACAAATTGACTAGTACACAGGATCAGTAGTGCCTAATTCCTTAAAGTACAGAAATCTCATTTTGGTACTCACTTGTTCCTAGAGATGGTGAAAAAAGTAAATTCTGAGCTAAGCTTCAGTTTATTTTTAAAAATGTGAAATACTAAAAGCTAGACCTAACACAGGATATAGAAACAAATAATGTTTTTAAAACACTCATTTCTTCATTAAATTATACTACTCAATAAGTTTTTTTTTTTAATTTTTTGCCACCTTTATTTGAGAAATACAAAGGTAAAAGGAAGCAAAAATGCAAGCATGATTGTTTTTACCAAATATTAGATGTCTGATGAATTCTTGTAGAGTGGAGGAAACTCACGTTACTCTTACAGTATTGAAATGTAGCATATATGGTGCTAACACTATTGTGTAGTCTTGGCAGGTTTGAGAATTTGAAACTCAGAAAAATTTTAAGAAATATGAAATGTCTTTTTTTCCTACTTGTGTAATAAAACATGTGATAATGTTTTGTTCTTAGAAGAAAACATATCACTAAATCAAAAGAAGGGTAAACTGGGTTTTAAAAGATTTGAAACCATTTAGACAAAAAGGCAGTACTTTATTATAAATTAGATTTTATCTTCAATTTGCTTGTGTCATCTATCAAAAGTCAATTCCTTCTTTACAAGTTATACTAAACTGAATGTTAAGTACAATACTCACTCTTAGCTCTTCACTGTTTATATGAAAAAATATTTGCTCAATTAGTGAAGAAATACTTGAGCGTGATGGAGATTAGGAGAGCACAGTGAGGTGATTTAGTCTTTTTCTTGCAGCCATTTGGCAGAATTGTTTTGGCTGATATGACAAAACACTCAAATACTGAATCACAAATGCCACTAAGAATAAATGAGAATAAAAAATAGGTATATGAATGAAAGCTTAAATAAATAGAGATCAGAAG